AGCCAAGCTTAAACTATTGGCCCCTCCCTGTCTTCCCTTTTCCAAGCAAACCCCAAGAGAGGCTATAATCCAGACCTTCCCCTCCCTGTTGCCTCCTGACCACCCGGGTGCCTCTCCCATGTGGTCTTCTGTGGCATGCTGTGTCTCCTGTCTCGAAGACCTGGGAGTGTAATAAACTTTGTTTTTTCCTGAGCCTTGACACTGTCTCCTCTTGTGGCCACACCTGACTGGCTCTCTCATAAAAGAATACAAAACAACCTAAGCCTGAGATTTGGAAAAAAAAACAAAAACCCACATTTCCATCTTCATTTTAAAAGAAACTGCACATGGGTAAAAAATGTACTATCCTGAGAGAATAGAATTTGTTTAAGTGGTAACACTGCAGACAGAGAGCAGCTGGTATTGTGAGTATTTCAGTGTTTGGAGATCAGAGATCAGTGTAAAGGCTGGTCTAGTGGCGGGCTGTAGAATACACCACTCATAGCTTTTCACTCTGTAGCCTGTAGGCCCGGGGACCTCCGGGAGTCACCCCAATGGCCTGAAGCACTAATGTGGCAAGAAAACATCAATGCCTTTCTAGGTATCAAATCTGCTATATGTGGCTTAACAGGCAACATAATGGCCAGACTCCTAAGGGCAAAGTCCAAGAACTTAGAATTGACCTGGAACGGGGCATCTGCTGTGTGTGGAGGCGGGTACAGGTTTGACTGTGGAGAGCAGAAGTCCAGTTAAGCTACTGGAGGAGAGTGTGTGAGAAACGAGTAATGGGGCCTTAGTTAATCAGCTTACCAGCCACCCAGTGAGAGGCCACAGAACAAGAAGGAAGGGAAACACAGAGCTGGGAGCCTGACCGAGGGGAGAGTATTGCGCGTGTGGCTCTTCAGGCAGGCAGTCATTCTGCATCAAAGACATGCGACCAAAATAATCGCGCTCGGGGTATAGGCTCCAGACTGAGAGAGGATAAGGGTCAGATGCAGTCCTCAGCCTTGTTAAGTGTCATGCACTTGACATCCATGAATGTGTATGATCTTACCCCAAATCCCAAGAACTGGGTATCAGTATCATCCCCAGTTTAAGGATGAGGAACTGTAGCTTCACTAGTTTGGTAGATGTATCCAGGGTTACTCAGGTAGTGAGACCTGGAGAGAAAGGACTGCAAGAAACTCACCTCATTGTTCGGAGCCTTGATGAGAAGAAGAGCTGTTGCAAACAGAATCAGGGTAAGGTGGGTTTTGTGAACTGACCTCAGTGAAAAAGAGGAAACCCAGTCACTGGGACTGGGGCACAAGTTCAGAGAAGGACTAACCACAAGAGATGCTGGCTGAGCACCTGAGATATTTTAAAGCCACTTGGATGCTCTATGCATTGATCTGTCTCAAAACCTGGAGCAAAGGGACCTGCATGTGAGGTCAAGTGTTCTTAGTGCTACTGATGGGAGAAATTCACAACAGGGAAACTGAGGCAATTTATTCCAATAAAAACTGAGCAATCTCAGGCCTAGAAGGCCAGCAAAGATGAGCAATGAGAATGGGAGGGGCAGCAAGTGAGCTTAGAAGTCTATCTTTCCCAGACAACCAAGGCAAAGGTTCAACAAAAGTAGTTTTTCATCCACAGAATTTTGAGGGCAAGTAGTAAAAGTTTGTTTAATTGTGGATATTTCATATCTAAAGTCTAACATTCAATTCTGGGTATCTCGTTTTTTAAGAGAAGTCACTATAACAATGAAGTGGAGCTGAAGAGAGCCTGGGAAAAAGAACTGAAGGAGGAGAAAATGTTAAAGAAAGTATACATTCATGTATTCAAAACTCAGTATAGCTTCTTGAGCAGCAGCTACACTTCCTGGGCTGTGATCTGGACATGCTGCGTTAATGAACATATGACCCTGCTCCAAGTTGATCACCACCCTCAACCATGTCTGCACGCGGTCAAGAAAGGGGCCCGGCTGTGTGATGTTACGGGGGTACAACCGGGACATGCGGTGGGATCCATGGAGAGGCACATTTATTTAATAAAAAGATATCATTGATTAAGGGACATAGGCAGAAAATAAAATTCCTTGTGCTCTAAAATTGTGCAAGATATACAAATCATTTTTTTTAAATCAATGCTATAACAGCTGTGATGTTTTAGTGGTAAATCATGGGCGAATCCCCCTTCCTTTCACTTTCACAATTATCATATAGGTACGCGCATCACAGAAACTGAGGGCCTTTAAGTAATTGTCTTTTGATTCTGTCTCTGAATCACTGTCCTTAGGCTTAGAAATCTTCATTTTGTCATCTTTGTTTCGTTCAGCGGCTGCGCTCCAGCTCAGAGACCTGAGAGGGGTTTATTTAATATCTGTATCCAGATTTTATTGTTAGCATTGCTACCAATCTAGTGAAGATTGGGATTCTTTGCTCAGAATTTGAACGATGAATTTGAAGAATTCAGGGAAGAACTTCCTGAGCATTTAGGTGGCTGACCTAGATAACTTGGAAGGTCTCCTTTTACAGGAAGATGTAACGGTTTAGGTTATGTTATTTTTCATTAACTAGTACATAGCATTAAATCCAATCTCCTTATGAGATGAACAGTGGTAAAAAGAACATCCAGGAAGATAAAAAATAAACGGTGCCAGAAAGGCCTCATCTTCTCATCAAAATAAAACACTTGAGTTTTTTCCTATTTTTAAAAAGTAATTATCAGCCACACTGCCATGCCAGTAGAAAGATCACACTGACCCATGTTTTCGTACGATCTGTGCCTTTGTTCAATTTTAGCTGAGCTGTTTTCATTTTAATTTTGTACTTCTATATATGTCCAAAACTTAAAAAAACAAGACAAAAAAAAAACAAAAAACACCTCACACTGAATCATGGATTTCCTTGGTGAAAAATTAGGGAAATCCCAGGACAATGGCTGACAGGAAACTTTCCAAGGGCAGGAGACGCTTCTAGATCAGACAAGTCCCAATTCCCACTTGAGGTTTGGACATATCTCTTGAAGGTGAACCAAATTTAGGTCTTGATGACCTGGGTCTCAGGAGGGTCTTATCAGGTTCTTATCACAACATGTCATTGCAGAGATAATATTTATGTAATGCAAATGAAATGAGCATTTACTTTCATCACTTAGATTTGATTTTTGGAGTCAGACTGATTTCCGTTTGAATCTCATCCCTACCACTTACGTGAATTCAGACCAGTTATTTTATGTCTTGGGTCTCCATTCTTTTGAAAAGGGTAATGATGAGAATCAACTCAGGTAACACTGTGTAAACAGCAAGTGCCCTGTGAATGTCAGTGGTTTTCACTGGAAACTTATCACTTGTACAAAACACAAGCTTTGCCTTAGCTGATTTGAAATAGCCACTATGACAATGACAGAGGCAGATGTTTGGTTTTTAAAAGATCGTGATATGAAATGACTGGTTTGTCTTTATTGAACTATGTATACACAAAAGAACGCCCTGGCCCTAACTCTCTTCTTGAACCCTATTACCCCTCAGGCCAGCCCATCCCAACATACCTTCCCTGACCCGGCAGCATCCCTGGCCTGCAGACACTGGGCTCCTCAGAGGGGTGAGGCCCAGAGGTGGAATGCGGAGGTCTGAAAGCTGAACACCACTGTCCCGAAAACCACATCAGAAGCAGGTCAGGGCTGGCGTACGTTGCTAGAACTACCTTTGACATTGCAATAGTATCCCAACTTCCTCATTACAAAATTGTGATTGCTTGGTATTTTCACAAACCTGAGAACGAGAGGAATGTTTCTTGGAGTTGAGTCAGTTGAGATAGTATTCTGAGCTTAGCTATTATCCCATATCCCTGCCTATAGCAGAGTTTCCCTCCTCTCTGAAACAGCTAATTATTATTGTTTCCATTTAGTTTGTTCTCTCTATGCTCCAGGTACCCTGTCAAATGAAGTTCAATAATATCTAAGAGGTGGGGATAACTAGAGGCTCCTGAAAAGGAGGCAGAGAGGAGTTTAGGAACTTGGGAAGGTCATGCTGCTAATAAGGAGTCAGTTTGGGCTCCACAGGGTTATAGGCTTTCAGACCCTCTGGGAAAATTGCCCCTTAGCTCCTTCTGAATTCTCAGAATTATTTCAAGGCTCATAGGAAAGTGAAAGAAGGGGTTGCTTTTATTAAAAAAAAAACTTAGAGAGTTTTGTAAATAAGACATAGTTATGATTAAGCCCATGGGCAAGCACCCATACAGTCCTGGAACTTCCAAACAGCCAGGCTGCGTTATTTCAACCTCTGCTCCTTCCACTCATGACACAGGAACCTGAAGGCACGGGACATACTGGGTGTTATTTGCTCCATAGCAACAGTTCAGAGTGCAAATCAAAGGGCAACTGTGAGGAGAAGGGAAGCATTAAAAATGAGAAAACCCAGTGCTTTTATGCCTAATCAGACTTCAGTGCTTGAGGAGATTTTAATTTATTGAAGTTACCTTTCAGCAGGTTTTTTTCCTAATGAGTCATTACAGTATTTCTGTCTACATTTTTAGCTGTATAGATGTAATTAATTACAAACCAGTGACAATGTATTTTATCACACAGTTTCAAATCCTCAGTGCCGCTTTGTTGTCCCTTTGGAACAGTGGAAGAGTGGCAAAGACATAAAACGAGCCGGTTTTATGAATGATTGTTTCCACAGGAAATTAAAGACTCATCCTTTTCCACATTGTCCCACGTCAGTCAGTCATGTTCAGCTGGCTAAGTCATGACGCTTTTAGTCTCCTTCTCTCTGTACGTTACTTCCCTTAACTGATCTAAAAATGGCACGGACATTCTTAATCTGTTTGGTTCAGCACTCCCCAGAGATTATATGAGAGAAAGACAGCCTATTCCCAGCCACAGACGGTGCGGCGATAAAGCATGCCTACTGAGCCAAAGGAAGTATCATGTAGGTGCCTATTCGCAGGTGTTCTACAGAAAAGAATGAGCTTAAGAGAGCAGGTGAGCAACTGGCTCTGGATTGAATTACTTTGTAACCCACTAAATGGTCTTACCTTAGTTACAGATAATGAAGTTCAGGCCCAAACTCCATGTCCTTTTCATCTTGTAAGAGCACTGCAGCTAGACACCTCAGGGGTTCTTTGCTCTCAGCTACTTCGGGCTTTCTCTCAGGCTGCCAGCACCTACCGCCATGGAGATGAGAAAGCCCACGGGAGAATCTCACTCTTCTTTGCCTTTCCGGACACATTCACACACACAAAGGCCACTGAGTTCTCAGCTTCTCTCTGGTGAATCAACACTTTCTTTAACTGGTTCCCATGCCTACACGTAGTAGAGAGTCTTGCCAGTGGTAGCATACAGAAAACAAGACTCAAGAAGAAATCACCTTCTGCCCTGCCCATTTACATCTCTGTCTTTCGACCAAATCTTGGTGAGCTTATTCAATAATAAGGATCTCCCCAAATCACAAAATGGCCCCTAAACTTCTTACTGTCCCAGAAGACTGGATTTTCTCTTACAAATACTTCCAGGACTTGTACATCTTCTTCCAAGTGTGTCCCTCTTAAATGCAGGTGCTCTATTATTGTCATTAAAAGATTTTTTTTTTCTGTGTAAATACACACCCTGTAGGTGTAACCCTACACCTACAGCAAAGGGCTTCTTGCCCAACATCATTCACTTGGGTTCCAAGGAAGTGTGTGCTCCTAGCCCAGTGACAACCTCAGCAGTGGTTCCAAGGAAAAGGTATAGATGTTTTTCTGAGAAGTTGGTTTTGTTTTATGGCTTGTTTGTTTGCCTCTTCTAAGTTTGGGATAAGGGAGGACCTAAGCTTCTTATTCGATGTCCATTTTTCACCTATAAGGAAGTTTTATAATTTGGGTGAAATAGTCATGAAAATATAGGCATTTATAAGAAATCGAGTGAATGCTGGTGTCATTTACTGAGATGATGGAACTGGGAGAGAAGGAATTTTGAAGAGGGGTCTCCAGAGCTGAGGTTTTGTTGCGGTAATTGGATATGCACTCTGACAACCAAATAAAAATGTCAGGTAGACCATACATTATTTTGGAGTTGGAAGGAGAGATGCAGAACGGAGGTATAAGATGGGAAGTTATCCGTACATACATGATTCTTAAAACTATGAACAGGGATGGGACCACACAGAGTGAGAGTAGTTACCAGAAATGGGTTCCAACAACTAAGCCCCAGGGCAACCCGATCTGAGATTAGAAAGATAAGAGGACCTAACAAAGGAATTATTTGAAATTGAAGGAAAATCATGATGCATGGTGCGAAATGAGGAAAGTGTGACAAGAAAAAGGAACTGATCATCTGTCAGAGATTAATGATAGGTCAAGATGAGGACTGAAAATTGACCATTGGATGTGGCAATGTGATGTTACTGGTAACTTTGATGGAAGATATCCCAGTAGACTTAGAGAGGCAAATGCCTGATTGGGCCAGAACAAGGGGGCCAGGGTGAGTGGAACTGAACATCATATGAACCACATTTATAAAGAATTCTGCTGTCAAATGGAGTAGAAAAACATGATGATAGGTGGGAAAGAATACGGGGGTCAAGAGGGGTTTATTTTTCATGAAGAGAGCTTTTAATTTTGTATTGTTTTAGTGTAGGAGATGTTAACAATTCATTGGCTAGGATGTTGCTACATTATTAATTTTTTAATTAAGTAAATGTCCTACAATTACTCTAGTGTGTTGTTTCTATTAAAAATAAGTATTTTTGGTGGCATTGAAGAAGGTATCCTGTTTGGTCTCATGGCTTTATTGCAGAATCCACATGATAATCAAACCGATTGAGTAAAGCAATTTTAAATAGAGAAAAACAGCCTGCCTTATGCTGCACAATATAGATACTAGATAATGGACAGAATTGTTTATTGTCACCTGGAAAAATGTTAAGTTGTTTTAAACAGCCTGAGCTACTGCTGACACCAGGCCTCCTGAGAGACCCAAACCAGCTTCACCAGCTCCATACTTACAGGCCAGCCAGCTCCTTATCATTCCTGCTGCCTGGCTACCCCAGGATACAGAGGAAGTGACTGAAGTCCTCACTGCTAAACAATGTGTTCCTTTTCCACTACTTATAAAACTCTTTCCCACTACTTGTGATTCTAAGTTATTTGAAACTCACTGACTTATTTTCTTCTCTTTGGCCAAACTGTGCCACAAAGGAATAGATTACCTTAATAGCTTTCAAAATCTGGAAGCAGTAGTAAGTTGGTTATCACATAAACTTCCTCTCAAATTATTTAATTTTAAAATTGAACAGTGAGAATTAATAAGAGTGCCTGTTTGGGTCATTTTTTTTTTCTTTCTGAATTTGAATTGGTGTTCTGGCTGGTGGTTTGTAGCAACTCCCAAACACACACATTACCAAGCAATGGCCCTGTGGGAACTGCCCAAAGGTCTGAGTCGGGAGTTGTCAGGGGAGGGCTCCATTCAGAAGCTGAATCCTCGCGAGAGTATTAACACAACAAGAATTCATTGCCTGAGTCCCTCAGTGATATCCCCTCAAGTTGGCCCTCAGTCTCTGCTTCAGCATTTTCATTAACAAGGATCTCACTGACTCTCCTGCCCCCATGTGCTCTGTTCCTATTTAAGGATGACGTGGCTTTACCAGGGAGGAAGTCTTTCCTTAAACTCTGATAAAAATATGTCCCCCTGTAGCGTTCACAAGACTTTCCTGTCCTCATGCTGTCCCTCTGCAAAATATGTTTGGGACTACTTCTTACAGCCTGCTCTTCAGATCAAGAAAAAGAGTTAGGAATCTTAAAGTTGCTTCTTAACTCCTAACTTACCTCCCAAGTCTTTACTTCTTCCAGTGAAAAATCTATAAAGCATCCTACTATTCCTGGTGTGTATACTGATTACTTAATTTCTCATTTTTGAGAGTGAAGAAGATATAGGCAAATGCTGAAATGTTGAGTTATTAAGGCAACAGGAGTCAACCAGTGCTGCCGGGGCATTTGGGCAACTGAATTTATAAGCAGTTGTGTGCTGGCGAATTTAACAGTGGGCTTTCTGAGGGGAAAAAAAGGGCTGACTGGTAGAGTTTGCCTATTTCTGAGGTGGCAATACACCACGCACGGCTGGTTTTGAGTTAGTGGTGTGATGTCTCAGATCATGGCGCTGCTAAGAGGGGTGCACGGTTGGCTCATTGGAGCTGACGTGAGTCTGCTCAGCACATCCCTGTGTGATGAGCCCTGGTGTAGGGTTTGCTCAATGTCCTGGATGTTCTCTGAATGTCTCATTTTTACGTGCAGCCCATAATCGGTCTAGATTCCACTTAAAATGCCACTTCAAAGACCCAATTCCATCAAAATTCAACTTCAAAGCATCTATGAATGGGAGTGGGATGTATAGAGAAAGCCTCTTGTTTCTAATGTTTGGATCAGAAAAAAATAATTGGTCTTTAGTTGGTACATTAGAGTACATTCTCATTAAATTATATATACCACTATGCCTTATTAAAGTTGTCATTGTTTAATGGAATGGAAGAGAAACAGGGTTTAAAACTGCCAGCTTGTTAAGAGGGATACTGCAAAAAAAAAAAATGATTTAGACCTTTAAATATTCCCATATAATTTAGTAAGCACTTAAGTCCTTATCAGACATTAAGGAAACTGTAAATATTCAACTTAAAGCCCTACTAATGAATAAACTTGTTTTCATGTTTAGCATTTTTCACTCTTGGATAGGTTCCTACTCTCTTACAAACCATGAATGCGTTTGTTTTTGATCTTCAGTGAATCCATTCTGCAGTAGTTACTCATGGATCACATTTCCCAAAAGGTGTAATGTATACCTTTATTTTATTCATACTGAATGCAGCTGGTTAGGACAGACTATGTTAGCTCTGACTTGGAGTTAGCAAAAGTATGAGACAGATAGAGTTGGAGTGGTGAGCAGCATGTGGTAAATCAGGTTAAAGAATTTTGATTATTCTAAGGAGGGATGAAAGGACTTCTACCAAGGGAGTAAGACAGTCTGACTAGGATTTAAGAGAATGCATTCTGGCAGTGGTGGTGAGAATGGGTTGGCTAGACGATAGAAGGGGGCGGGGCAGTAAAGGAGATGTTGCATAACCTACGGGACCAAAGCTCAGGAAAGAGACTCAAGAGATACCTAGAAGTCTGAATCTGCTCTTGTCAGAAACCTATCAGGGAGGGAGGGGGAAGAGAAGGAGCGATAAAGAACAGTCCAGGTAGACTACCAATAACAGTGGAGAGATGAAGAACAGTCCAGGATGACTCCAAGGAAAGAACCCGTACAGCTGCAGTCAAGTCTACAGGTTGGGTGGCAAGAACTTGGTGGTTTTATTTCCCTGTTAACTAAAGAGGTGGTGAGCAGAAGAGACAGAAAAAGCGATTTCCAGTGGATGGAAAACATTCAAAATAGTCACTGTCGGGAAGTTGCAGAATATGTTACTGGGGCTGCACTCAGGGCCTATTCTTAGTAACATTTCTCAAGAATCTAATTGAATGTGTGTTGCTGAAAAAGTGTTCCAGGTGTTCCTGAGAGGTCTTCCTACTTCCCTCTAATGACCGGTTCCTCTCATTTCTAATGAAACCCACCAAGCAAAACAAATACCTTTTGATTGAAGAATTTTAACAAGATAACTTGTTCCGTTCTTGGTTTCCAGATTGACCACTAAATGGCTTTTAGTGAAAGGACAGTGAAATTCCCACAAAATATTTGTTTGGAAAACATTCGCTAGAGACACCCCCTCCTTCCAAATGCATCCTTGACATTGGGGAGGAGACGAAGCTCGCAGGCAGTACAATCGACGCTGCCCTGGGGTGGAACTCCGAAATTTAGTCAAGGGACGGACCCCAGTGAGGTCATGTCTCATTTGGGATCAAATGGCTAACTCTGACTCTGTGATCATATTAAGAAAAATGCACATAAAATGCCCAGGAATTTTTCCTTTGTTTGATTCAGAAATTAAACTTACACACGTCACGTCCGCAAAATGAGCATCTCACCGGGTCAGATGCAAAGTAGAAGGGAGGATATGCTACCTTCTTCAGCGGGTTGAATTGCAGACCTCACAGCACCTCTGCAGGCACATATTTTTAATGTAGATTTGTCTACACTCTAAGAAGTAAAGTT